TGTAATTTCTTAGTAAGGACTGAACATTAGTACAATAAAATTTGTGAGTCCTCATTTTTCTGAATTGTATCTGATACATTTAATCCCCTACATTATGTAAAGTTCCCTTAAGTGTTTTTGTTGTTGTCTTTGTTTTTATGTTGGAACACTATGTAATTATGTTGCACGTTCTAACATACAGAGATGTCCTGCCAGATCTGTGTCACTGCATATTTCTGTTGAAGGTATTTTACGTGAACCACCTATAAGGTCCCTACAGATGGCGTCAATCACCATCCTCATGTGCCCAGGAAAGCAAAGTCTTGTCTTTTTTGTTGAAGAAAATGAGGAATACCTGAGCCCATAGTTCTTTCTTTTTCCCCGTCATCAGTTGCCACATAGGACTCATGACTGTTGGCCCCGTAAACATAATGTTGCAGAGGGAATGCTTTCCCTGCAGGCCAGTGATGAATTTATTGAGTGCCTGAGTCATCAGTGGAAGAACTTCCAGTCTCATATATTTTTGGTTTGTTCAATAAAGGAGGTTTTTTTCTAAGACTTCTTTAATCTTGGGTGTTTTATTTACTGCGTGGGTTAGCTTTCAGGAGATCGGAGCTCTCCAAGCATGATGAGGTGAACAACTTTTATGGGGTCTCAAACCTTTTTTCCCTTGGAACAACAGTATGGTGCAGAAATTAGCTCAGTAGTTTTTGGCAAATTTACACTGCTGCCCATATTTTCCTAGGAAATACTCTGGATTCTCTAATCCTCATGTGATGTCTGGATGTGTTGAGACACAGAGATCACTCCAAAGAGGGGGTAGCAGTGACAACCTCAAGTATGCTTGGGAGCATGAATTTTTTTTCTTGTTTGCAAGGAATGCCAATACATGTGAAGGGTATGTCTTGCCCAGGTCTTGCAGAGGGCCATGTGCCCTAATGCCTACAATTTTCCAGGTGATGGTCACTGGTTTGAGGACAATGGCATTCAGGGGAAACCCTTTCACTACAGAAACGCTGACCTAATTATGAACTAATTATTGTTGGACGAGACTGTAGCCCATTAGATGGAATGGTCCTCACCTAAATATAAATTAATAATATAAATTATTTTGGGGAAAAGACTACAAGAGCTGTGTGTACATAGATCGGAGGGACCCCAGGCATGTTTACCTTTTGTGGAGCAGTCATTGTCATTGATTATAATCGAGATGTTTTGTGGCTCTTGTAGCTTCTCAGGTGTTCCCATCAGAGAGCCATTGGTGATCAGGCAATAAAACAAAGATGGAAGCAGAGGCTGTCTATAGTCCAAGGATGTGGCTTTTGTGGGTTTGGGTGAAAGTTTTTCATTTTTTGTTATATTTTCTCTACTGACATGAGACCCTCACCCAGCGGGCATATGAATGTGGAATGAATATAGAATTGTGAAACCTGTTCTTATAAAGTAGATGAACATACATTTCTTTTATGTTGAACCATTTTTAACAGCTGTAATGAGTAAGTTACATGTGTTTAGTGTTTCATAAATCTTGACATGTGCATTAAACTGAAACTATCATTATAGTCATAATGCTGGCTATATGTTTTACTGTGTAATTGCTTCATGACCTATTTTAAACTGCCCCTTTTTTCAAAGCTTTCCGCACACTCCCTACTGGGGATGTGCCTGCAACCAGGTACATGCCCCTGACCAGAATCAAGCCTCAGACCCCTGAGTCCCCAGGCCGACGCTCTATCCACTGAGCCAAACTGGTCAGGGCGAGAACTTTATTTGTTAAGTATTTTTTTGCTTTAATGGATTTTTCATATACTTGTGGATTTATTTAAGTTATATTAGTAACTCAACTTTCTTCTGATAGATATTCTTTTTTAAAAATAATATGTTTTATTGAGGAAACTTTCCAGTACACTTGGTGTAAGGTGGAGGAGCAGCTGCTGCCTCAGCTGCGTGCAGCAACACGCTCTTTCCAGCTCCTCCACACCTGCCTCAGCCTCCTCACCGGCTGTCAAATATGATGAAAGCAACCACTTACTATGATGTTTTGGCGGTCAAACCCAATGCCACCCAGGAAGAACTGAAACAGGTTTATAGGAAGCTGGCCTTGAAGTACCACCTTGGTAAGAATCCAAATGAAGGGAGAGAAGTTTAAACAGATTTCTCAAGCTTAGGAAGTGCTCTCTGATTCTGCTTCCTGAGTGTGTCCCTTATGTATGCGACGAATTGAAGTCTGCCTTTTTGGGGGTTTCTCTTTGTACCACTGGCAAGGCTTGGGTGGGGATGTAAATTGAGTAGGGCGGGATCTCCGGGAGTCACCAGGGCGGAGCAAAGGGCAATGGTGTTACCACAACTCCTTGCCTCTCCATGACTCCCTCCGCATCTCCTCGCCCCCCAGTGTGGGCGAGCAGCTTCGCTAGAAAGCCTCCCTCTCTCTGACCCGCCGCAAGGCCGTCCCGCCTCTCCCCGTAGGGGTCTGGGACCTCAGAGTCCTGCCCCAAACAAGCTGAACAAAATCTCCAGGCATTCTTGGCTGAATATCTGGTATGCCTGCTTGGATTTCGTTCCCCACCAAGTGCACAGACTTCCCGTTCGCCCTCTCCCAGAGTCCCATGTGAGACTGGATCTGGTGGACCTGTTTGTGCATTTGCTGGCACAGCGGCTCCACGTCGCCGGCCCAGCCGGGTCCGGCTCTGGCTTCCTTTGAACCTGATTCTGCTTCTTGAGTGTGTCCCTTATGGATGCGAGGTGTTGAAATCTGTTGGGTTGAAGTTTGTTGGGTTAAGCTGCAAAAGCGCAGGTGGTTCCTTTTGTGCCACTGGCACAGCTTGGCTGGGGATGTAAATTGAGTGG